AAAATTGATCTCGGTTTCAGCCCTCCCATTCTATTCAACAGCAGGGAACAATATATTATTTTGTCAAATATACAGAAAAAGTACTATTTTTAGTCTATCTTGGATAATTTTTTTCGAATAAGAAAGAAAACATTCACCAAAAAAACCCTAATGTGGTGCTTGGTTCCATATGGGCCTTGGTGTATTTATTTCAAGAACGCATTCATCCATAAGAATCATCAACAGTTAATTGATCAACCAGGTTTCTGGAGTTTAATGAGTAGAAATATCTTGTAGACTGCTTATTTTTGGTGGTTTTAAGATAAAGAGAATAGGTGCTGAAAGTACTGAAAGGGAGAGACGTGGAGAGTTGTAAGAGCAGAAATAAATATGGGTCTGGGAAGTGAAACTGAGACGAAACGTTAGGACTAAATAAAGGGTATGAACTCTCACATGATATTGAGGACCAAACCCAAGAAAATAGAAGAGATAGACTTAAAAGGAAAAGATGTGTTCAAAACTGTCAAAAAGCCTAATCCGTATTTGGAAAGAAGGCAGAGAAGATGAATTGACAATACAAAAAGAATGGAGGTTTTCATCACTGGACAATGACATCCAAGCCTACAATAACAAAATATTAAGAAATGGAGATTAACAGCTTATCTTTTGAGGATCTTTTAGAATTTATTGTATTTATGAAAATACTGGCAGTAACTAACAATACCCTATATGCCATAGTGAACATCAGGGCTCAGAAATAATGAAAGCTGCATATAACCAGAGCTGAATCATAGATTACTTCATATATGAAATATATATGCTTTTTATATGTATATTTATATTCTTTTCATATTTCATATGCAAGTTTTGCTTCATTCTACCCTAACAAACAAAAAACTTCTCAGAGCAACAAATATTTGATATTCAGTCTTGTTTGTAAGAGTCAAGCTCAAAAGTGTGCCACTCCACCAATTAATGACATATAAACATACAAATCTGAAGAAGGTGTAATACTGAATAAGACTACCTTGCTAATGGGGGGGGGGG